TAAGTCAAAGATAGATGTAAAGTTTTATATGTAAAACTAGACTCTCAGCTTTTAAAACAGTTAAGAATGGAAGCTGTGCACATTGGTTACTTGTAGAAAATGAGATCAGGGGAGACTTTACACTTCATTTTAAAATCCACGATCCAGGCGGTGCAGGAGCTTGAATATCAAACAGAAGAAATGCTTCTTGTAGCTGTGAGCACTCACTTTCCCTGTAAAGGCTGTTTCTCTAAAAGCTCACAGGAACAACACAACATGGCACAACTCTCACAAGAGAGGAGTCAGACAGGACAGGATACAAAGAGGCCACAATGGACAGCAGGGAGGGCAAATCCTGAGGAACATCTCATGACTTTTCTTGTCTCACTCTCCTTTGCTGGTGTTACTGTTCAGGAAATCACAGGGTTGTTCCAGGGTTTGATAAGCCTCATTCAGTCACCAGGGTTCCCTTGAACGCCGACATGCACCTCCGCATCCAGAGGGTCATTTAGCTTCTCTGCTGTTTGTTCTTCCTTCTCAACTCCCCACTTGCAGCAGAAAGGATGATGCCAAGGTAAGAGCTTTCTCAAGAATCATTTTCTTTTAAAGACAGTTTAAATATTGTGTTTTATTCTACAATCTTTTTTCCACTTTATTTATTTTATATTTAAAATTTTATAATTCTGTTTATTGTTTTAATTATATGATACAGATCCTTAGGCTCTGGAATTACCCTTACCCCATCTCCAATGAGTTCCTTAATACACAGTCAAATATTCATCATTGTGGGCATGGAAAATGATACAGAGTTCAAATTCTTATTGTCAAGACAGAGTAAACAGTTTCACTGGGAGTCTTATTCTACATTCTGATGAATTGTCTTTGGCTACACTCACCAGGAAGTCTCATTAACATAGGATGCTAGCTGTAGAGACAAGTGAATCCTCAGAATTTGCTTTCCTTTCCTTTTCTCTTTATCTACTTAAATCTGAAATGTTAGAAAGAAACACTTTAAAATTTTCTGTTAGTTTGACAAGTGTGGTTTGTGTAATTATACTCTGAAAACTAAACCATCATTAACCTCAATTTTCTTGTTTTTTAAAGTGCTTTTATCATTTCACCCTAGTATCTGTAATTGTTTCAGCAGAAAATCTAATACAGAATCTGAACAGATCATTTAGAGGCATTCAATAAAAAGACTGTTTACAACAGCTTGAGTACCAACTAAGAATTAAAATGTTCCATAAGGAAATTCATAGTGGAAAGCTGTTCCCACTGCTGGAACTGAGGGATACAGGGAAGGCAACTTCATGAGAACAGAGTGTAATTCAGCTATAGCTGTGGCTATAGGAAAGTGCCTCAGGACAGGACTGACTCTCTTAGCTAGAGGGACACTCCCACTGTCAGGTCACAGCTTAGAAGAGAGATTCCAGAAGTTAAGGGGAAAAAAAAATCTCCCTTTCTTTCCTCCTGTGCTTCTTATCAATGAGTCCCTTTTCCTGTAAACAACCTTCAAAGCAGAGTAATAAACAAATTATTGTGCCATGATTAAAAAGGCAGAATTTCCCCAAAGAGTGTTAGAGACATTGTGGTTTTCCCCCTACCTCCTCATCCAGCCAAGCAGGGCTGCAGACTCAGTGCCTGTGACAGGTGCACTCAGGCCTTGGTGCCAACTCTGCACCCTCAGTGGAGGACACATGCTCTCTCCACTTGGAGTCATACTTCCTAGTGTGAATCCTCTCCAGTACACAGTGAACCACAGCTGTCTGTCCTGCAGCGAGAAGGGGATCCATGCCTTCAGTTGCTCTTTCCCATCTGTCATCTATTCCCATCTCTTATTCCAAGATCCCATCCTATTTCATATTATGACTGAATGTTTTAAAGTCAAAACTATAAAATCTGCCATGTCAATATTTCATTCAACATAATTTCATAGTTATTTTCATTCCTCCCTCTTCATGTTTAATTGACATCAAGTCTTAGCAGTAAGACTGCAAGGCTGGTTAAGGACAAGGACAGCGATGAAGAACTGTGGGTTCAAACCCAGGCTGGAGCAGTACTCTTTCCAAGATCTGCAGCACATAATTCAGTCTGTTTTGCTTTGTGGAGTTGTAAAGTGAGAATAACAACAATAAGCATGTTTTTTTTTTAATGTGGATGGGAGTTGTGAAGCCCTTAGTTATTCCTAAGAAGATTTATATGAGCATGTCTCATTTTACTCATATTTTGAGAAATTCAGCCCTGTTTATTTCCAACACTTTCCCCTCAGAAGCCTCTTCACAATATTTTAATGAGGAAAGCATAATCAACCAAAAAGTTTCTGGGGAAATGATAGGTGGATTTAAAGCTTGGAAGTGATAGAAAAATCACTCAATAATCCCAAACAATCTTTTTTCTCTCTTTATGCAATGTGAGGGCTCCTTAAAGCTTAAATGACACTTGAGTTTTCTGAGGATGTCCTCTTAAGTAAAAATCATGCTGGGACATTCTCCCAGTCAAGTAGCAAAGGAGAACACAGATCCTTGCTGAAGGAACTCCACTGCATTTAAGATCCCTCAAAATTCCATGAAAGGAATCCCCAAGCATAATTATAATTATAAAGTGAATCAAATGGCATGGATAAAAATATCAAGGTGCCCCGGGGGATGTGAGAGAAATTGTGACTTTCCTCTGCCCACTTACTAAGCACACTAGGGCTGTCAAATTGAAGGGAAGGCATGATGTGTGTATTCAGATCTTGGTGTCAGCTCTGCACCTCCACAGAGGCCAAGTCCTGTTGCACTCAGAGGCCTGTTGAGCTGTGTGAGTCGGATTCAGGGTGCTGTAATTAGCTGTTGCCCTTTCTGCATTAGGAAGGAATCTCTTGTCTTCAATTGTTTTTTCTCATTGTGTTTTAGCCCAATCTCTTCTTACATTGTCAAAAACTATTTCATATATCCTCTCAAATGTATTTAAGCAAGGCTTTAAAAATCCACATTTGTGGCACTTGATCAGGGATCTGACTTAAGTGTTAATGGCTGAGTTTTCTCCCAATCTGTATGCATCATTGATACCAGAATATAACTGTGTGCATGTATTCTAAGGGCATGGATTGGACACAGACGTGTGGATTCACACCCAGGCTTTATCACTTATAGGCCTAAGACATGCAACACATCACTCAGATTTTTGGTGCTTTTGCGTTCATAGCTTTAAAGAGAGAATATTAACACTACTTACCCCATGGGCTCTGAGGAGCATTAAGAAAGGATATACCTGAGATGGACTCCTTTAGCTGATGTTACTTCATTCAATTTGAGTAATCCCCTTGTCAGCTGGAATGCTATGAACACTGAGTCTTTCAGTAATGCTTTCTAAAATGCAGAAATGGGGCTTTCCTTTCCTTTCCTTTCCTTTCCTTTCCTTTCCTTTCCTTTCCTTTCCTTTCCTTTCCTTTCCTTTCCTTTCCTTTCCTTTCCTTTCCTTTCCTTTCCTTTCCTTTCCTTTCCTTTCCTTTCTTTTCCTTTCCTCTCCTCTCCTCTCCTCTCCTCTCCTCTCCTCTCCTCTCCTCTCCTCTCCTCTCCTCTCCTCTCCTCTTTCTTTCTATCTTTCTTTCTTTCTTTCTTTCTTTCTTTCTTTCTTTCTTTCTTTCTTTCTTTCTTTCTTTCTTTCTTTCTTTCTTTCTTTCTTTCTTTCTTTCTCTCTCTCTCCCTTCCTTCCTTCCTTCCTTTCTCTCCCTTCCTTCCATTCTTTCTTTCTTTCTTTCTTTCTTTCTTTCTTTCTTTCTTTCTTTCTTTCTTTCTTTCTTTCTTCCTTTCTTCCTTTCTTCCTTTCTTCCTTTCTTCCTTTCTTCCTTTCTGCTTTTCTCTGTTTCCAAACCTTTCCTACAGAATCACTTCCATAACTGTTTTCATTAACCTGGAGATCACAGTTGATGGGTTTTATATTGTGCACCTGATAGAAGATCAGTTAATAAAGATGCTTACATTCTCTGCCTCAGCTCCTCTCTTCACATGTATTTGTAGTCAAATCTCTTGTTTTCACTTCCCCTCCATCTCTCTGTTCCTCCCCGTTTCCCCTTTCCTTCCTTCCCTTATTCCCTCCCTCTCTCTTTTTCTGCTTTCTCAAGATCGCTGTTCACTTCTCAGTGTGGAGGAAATTCAAGTCATCATTGAAATCTATCGTTAACTTATGGGATCATACTCTTCTCAAAGGCCACAATACTGACCTCCATCACTTGCTTACGGGGCTAAATTACTTTATATACTTTTTAGGATGGAGGAGGCATGAGGTCAGTCACACCCAGGATTTCCATAGGAATAGTCTTGAAGTCTTTTCTTACTTGATATGTATATGTATACGTACATGTGCATATATACGTATATGTGTGTGTTTATATGTATATGTGTATGTGTATGTATATGTTTGTTTTCTCATGTGGCATTTACCCCAAGGACTACAGTTGATGTCCACATTCATTAGCTGTTTGGTTATAAATCACTCCACTCCCAAAGGTGTCCCACGAATGAAGAGGGCATAAACACAATAACGGACAAGAGAAAAGCACCCACTGTTTGCATAAAAAAGGCCAATGGAGCAATTTTGATACCAAGAGGTTTGCCTAATACCACAGCTATCCTAGCAAGATCTCACATTCCTTCATGTCCCTACATCATAGTCTCCTCTCTTTCTGATGAATCGAAGTCTCTCAGTTATTGTGATGAACTTAGTCATGCATGAGGCTTCCAAATACTCCCCATGATGAAATCGTTGCCTCAGGACAGAAATAATCTCAGAGCAGCCATGTTTTATCTATTTCTATCCAACATGAAATAGACTAGTACCATTAATAGGAGAGATGGTACTACAGATTATTCCTGTAAGAGAGGAGTTTCTCAGTTGGAAGAGCCTGAACCTCTGCTTCAGAGGCAGTGTGAACTGTATTTGAATCCAAGTTTCAGGAGTCCCATGTCTTAGTAAATTTTTTCCTTTCTGCAATGCTCTGTTTCCCTATTTTGTTGGTCAGGGACTCCAATTGCAACATGCTGGCTACTCTTGAGAATCAGTCATGCAGCAGGCTCTCAGATCTTGTTTGTGTTCCCAGGAACACAACTGGCGGCTTTCTGAACATGAACCCAAGCATTACAGACATGAACAACGTCTCGCAGAACGAAAGTGGTGGGACCACTAAGCCAACACCTGACAAGCTTCGCCTGATCCTGTGCTCGCTGACCTTCATCATCATCTTGGTTGGGATGGCAGGAAATGCGACTGTGTTATGGCTCCTGGGCTGCCGCATGCGCAGGAACGCCTTCTCTGTCTATGTCCTCAACCTGGCTGGAGCCGACTTCCTGTTCCTCTGCAGCAGCTTTATACTATACTTCATAAATGGTTTTGATTTGTTCTCCATTTACGTTCCAAATCATTTCTTGCCCATTTGGATCATTTTCTACCTTGCAGGCCTGGGCATCCTCAGCGCCATTAGCACGGAGCGCTGCCTGTCTGTCCTGTGTCCCATCTGGTACCGCTGCAGACGCCCCAGGTGCCTGTCAGCTTTCCTGTGTGCGCTGCTCTGGGCGCTGTCCTTGGTGCTGAGCCTCGTGGCAGGGAATGACTGTGGTTTCCTATTTAGCAGTGAGAGCTTGGAGAAGTGTAGGAAAATTCGCTTCTTCACTGTGGCATGGTTGATATTCTTATTTTTGCTTCTCTCTGGGTCCAACCTGGCCGTGCTGTTCAGGATCTTCTGTAGCTCACGGAAATTTCAGCTGACCCGGCTGTATGTGACTATCCTGCTCACAGTGCTGGTCTATCTCCTCTGTGGTCTACCCTATGGCATCTATTTGTCCCTCTCACGCTTGATTGATAGCTTTTATTGTGATGTACCTATCTATTGTACTCTAATTCTGGTTCTCTTGTCTTGTGTTAACAGCTGTGCCAACCCTATCATTTACTTCTTTGTGGGTTCGTTTAGGCAGCGGAGGCAGGGACAGACTCTCAAGCAGGTTCTTCAGAGGGCCCTACAGGACACTCCTGAGGAGGGTGACAGTGAGAAGAGTCTGCCCCAGGGAACATTGGAGATGTCAAGCAGTGGTGTAGTGTAGCCTGGTATTCCCTCTGAACTCACAGAGATGTGGCTACCAGAGCCAGCTCTGCCACTGTCAGTTTGCAGTCCTTTCTTCAACAGGAGACTGGAAGCAGTGCATCAAAGGTCTGAATTTCTTTGGTCATTTTATGTGCCACAAGCTGAACGAGTGAACCATTATGACATAAATCCTTTGCCTGTGTCCTATAATTTCACTCTTGAAAGTTTGAGATAATTAAATCTAAAAATATTCACTAATAAGATGTCTTTCTTAAATTTGGCAGGCCTTAGAATATCCCTTTAGTTTCATAAGTGTTGTTTATAAATTATTTCTTTAGTGATTTTCTGTCAATCTTGTCAGAAATAGCCATTGACCAGATGTGGACTATTATGTCTGACTTCTTTGCTTTCATGACATCCAATCATAAATTTCTAAGCCACATTAATCATCATCTGTGTTTAGAGGCAGGTGGTTTCCTTTTTCCTGCCCTCCATCAGGAAGTGTTTATTTCTCTCCTCGTCTCTTCTTGGTTGTCTGGGGCACTTTCATTCTTCAAGCTGGTTTCCAATGCATTTTCTTAATATCATTATGCTTCTTTTTTTTTAAAGATTTATTTTTATTATTTTTTTACTGGAAAGGCAGATATACAGAGAGGAGAGACAGAGGAAGATCCTCCGTCTGATGATTCACTCCCTAAGTGAGCGCAATGTTCGATTCTATGCCGATCCGAAGCCAGGAGGCTCTTCCAGGTCCCACACACGGGTGCAGGGTCCCAAAGCTTTGGGCCGTCCTCAACTGCTTTCCCGGGCCACAGGCAGGGAGCTGGAAGGGAAGTGGGGCTGCCAGGATTAGAACCGGCGCCCATATGGGATCCTGGGTGTGCAAGGCGAGGACCTTAACCACTTGCGCCACTGCGCCGGGCCCAATATCACTATGCTTCTTGAGGGCAGGATTTCTATCTTATCAATCTTTTATTTCAAATAACTCACAGTGTTTATTACATAAATTGAATTAAATATGAATTATCCATGTTCTAAATATGTATATATTCTATTCAAATATGTCAATTTAAAATCCTGCATGATTTCAACATTATAAGGATTTCATAATTATAAGGATTGAAATGAAAGAACTGCAGCAGCATTGCTGATGAACTAGCAAATAAGTACATCCGTGTGCTTCAACCTCCCTCACTCACCAAATGATCAATATTGACTGTTTTCTTCGGATCTCTTAATCTTTCTTGTTGCCCCAAAGAGAATTGCAGTTATTTTTTCTTTCACCAAATTTAATTTTTGTATGATATTTTGCTTATATATTTAGAATCATATAAGGTGCGTCTTTTTCCTTTTGTCTTCTATTTTACTGACCATCCTGTGTGGGGTTGTATCCATATCATTTCATTCCATAGATGAACATATATAAGCTGAATATGATTTCATTGTATATTTGTGGCACATTGTAAACATTTCCTGTTGATATCCTTGTTTTTTGTTTCTGACTGTTCTAAATAAAAATTGTGTGCACATTCATATTTCAGTCTTTGTGTGATCATATAGTTCACCCACTTGAATAAAAACATGTAGTGGAATGGTTGGAGGAGTAGCAGCTTGTGGTTTACTGTATAAAATAAATGCACAAGTTGTGTGTAAAGTGATTCTACTATTTCACATTCCCACCAGCACTACATGTCCACATGTTCACAGCATATGGTAATGTCAATCTGTTGAAATTTTCTATTCAAATGTGTGGTGTGTCATGCCTTTGTGTATTAACTTGCATTTCTCTAATCACATAAATCTTAGCATATTTTCATGATTTTATTGGCTATTTGTGTATTTTTTGAAGTTGCTGCTTAATTTTAGTTCTTTCTTTTGCATTGTTTATTTGTGAAAGCCTTGAGATTTTGTTTACTTTTTGTCAGAGGGAGAGAAAAAGAGAGAGAAAGTGTAAAATTGCTAGAGAGAAAGAAAGAAGGAGAAGGAGAGAAAAGCATTCTCATCTCTGGTTCATTGCCTAAAAGGTTGGGATATGTTAAGACTGGAGTCAAGAGCTGGGAATACAATCTGCATCTCTCACATGTGTCGTGAAAACCAGTTACACAAGCCATCACCACTGTGTCCCTGTGTCTGAATTGATTGGAAGCTGCAGACAGGAGTCAAATTCATAAACTGATCTTAAAAATTCCACTGGGGGATACAGAGATTCCAGCATTTGTGCCAGATGCCCACTCTGAATTGTACTAGAGTCTTAATGTAACCCTTCATATGTTATGTACATTATACATACTTAATTGATAGTTTAATGCAGTGGGTTCCAACCTTTTTCCTTTTTCCACTCTAATCCTTTTTTTAAAAGATTTATTTATTTATTGGAAAGTAAGATATACAGAGAGGAGGAGATACAGAGACGAAGGTCTTCTGTCCGATGATTCACTCCCCAAGTGAGTGCAACGGCTGATGCTATGCTGATCCGAAGCCAGGATCCAGGAACTTCTTCTGGGTATCCCACATGGGTGCAGGGTCCCTAAGAATTGTGCTGTCCTCGACTGCCTTCCCAGGCTACAAGCAGGGAGCTGGATGGAAAGTGGAGCAGCCGGGATTAGAACCGGCACCCATATGGTATCACGGCGCGTTCAAGGCGACCACTTTAGCTGCTAGGTCACGCCGCCAGGACATCGACACTAATCCTTATACAATTTTTCCTATTGCTATCTTTCTGCTCTATTGTCATATATTAATTAAAACTAGTGAGTTAATACAATGCACTTTAATAAACTAAAGTCTGTAGTCAATATTATGGTTTGCTTGTGTGTTGTTCAATTCAATGGATTTTCACAAATGAGAATGGTGTGAAACTACTATCATAGTTACATAGACAATAATCTCAGATATCTGTGACTCCATCTACTCTAACTTCTGGCAGTCACTAATGATTTCCTCTTATGAATATTCTTTTTTTACCAGTATCCTATTTGAAATCACATATTAGATACCTTGTTCAGAATAGCCTCTTGACAATTTGCATTTAAGTTCTTCCCTTTATATTTATAGCTTAGTATTTTATTTGTTCTTGTTGATTGATGCAACTTCATTTTTTAATGTTCACAGTTTATCCATTCATCTAATGAAAAAGATTATGCTTGCTTCTATGTTTTGGCAATTATTATTAAATATGACCATGACTTTTCAACTCATTGGTAAACACTTTGGCTCATGGTTTTTGGATTTTTACAATAAGTATATATTTGGTATTATATTAGTTTGCAGACCGGTGTTAACCATTTGGTATAGCCATCAAGAATGTGTAAGTGTTTCTTCTGTGCCACACTCTCCTTGGAAATCACATTCATCTGTGCTTTACATGTTAACCTATTTGTTGTATAGTAGTGTCTCATCTTTTTACTTGAAATCATATATCAACACATCAGAGCAAATGCAATTCTTCTATGCTTATTTACCCACTGAACTGTTTCCTGGATGTGCAGTCTTTTGAGCCCTTTTACTCAATGGAAGTTTTGTCATTGGGTTAATTTCTGTTTTATTGTTTCATTCATAATGATTCTTTATTAACAGATATACAGAGAGGAAGATCTTCTGTCGGAAAATTTACTCCCCAGTTATCCGCAACTGCCGGAGCTGAGCCAATCCGAAGCCAGGAGCCAGGAGTTTCTTCCATATCTCCCAGGTAGGTGCAAGGTCCCAAAGCTTTGGGCTATCCTCGACTGCTTTCCCAGGCCACAAGCAGGGAGCTGGATAGGAAGCAGGGCTGCCAGGCAGAAAACTGGCACCTGTATGAGATCCTGGGCATGCAAGGTGAGGGTCTTAACCACTACACTATCACGCCAGGCACAGATTTTAAAATTTAAAGGTTTCTTCCTACTCTTGCCTCACTCCATGATGATTAAAATGAACAGGGCGGAGCCGGCCTGAAGCCATGAGCCAGGACCTTCATCTGGGTCTTCCCGCTGGGTACAAAGACACATGCGTTTGAGTTGTCTCCTGCTGCTATTCCAGGCAAATAGACAGGGAGCAGGATGGAAAGTAGAGCAGCTGGAACCTGAACCAGTGCCCATAAGGGATGCTAGAGTTGTATGCAGCAGTTTACCTACTATATCACAATGCTAGCTCTGCGGAAAACATGCTACAGGAAACAAACAAACAAAAAAAGGCAGATAGTTGCAAGTGACTAACATTTACAGTGTTCCGCCTAGAGAAAGAATACTTGGATAAGGGAATAAAGCAATGACAAATTTGGAGAAAGTTTCAGAAAAAATGAAGCTCTGAACAATGTACTTCAGTCATAGAAATATAAAATGTGAAGTGGAAAAATGAGAGAAACAGTCAAGTTATATTTGTGCATTTGGAAAAAGGCTATTAAAATTATTGTGAGAGTATACTTTGTTGTGGGAAAAGTATATTCTGTAGTTATAGAGATTAGGTCATTAAAGCTCTGGTATTATTGGTGAGGAGGACTGATTCGGGGACAGGTGTTCATCCACTACCTCACAGCAGCAGGAAATGCTGTCTCAGAACTCCTCCTCCATCAACAAACTATTCTTGTGTGACTTTCTCCACTTTTTGCTGAATGTGTATTCCCTGTGTCTTCAATATCTTCAACAGTTGTTGAGCATATCCTGTGGACACAGAAAGTTCATTTAATCAATTAATAAATAAATGGAATATTATAGTTCTGTGGATAAATACAATGTCTCAACTAAGAGTAGTTAATTACATCTCAAAGTGACTGCAGCACGGACACATGATGGAAATTATTAGAGAGAAGGCTGACACGTTGAGCTGCCTCTTAATGATCTGTAAATAGTGTGGTTAAAAATCAGATAAAAGGTGACAAATGATGTATGTCATGTGCTAAATTCCCTATGTTTTCACAGCACTCAATATATTCAGTAGTTAGTGTTGATAAATCAAAAGGAAAGTATAGTTTTGTTATGCAAATCTTTAACACTGTTAGTTTCTAAAACATCTACTGATGAAATCTGTACATATTGTTTGATA